AATTTCTTATCTTGGTAGGCCTCTTTAAAGGTACACTATGGAAACTTTCTGGTGTAGGGTTGGCCGTCTCCTTGTTTCCATGGAAATGTTATTGCTTTCTTTCTTATCTATCTTGGATCAATTCAATTATAGGTGTCGTTAAAACAGTATTAATTTTACTAAACTGATTATCACCATGGAGATATACATTTAATGCAATGGCAAAGCAATAAACTCTTCGTGGTAACAAGCAGGTGGCAGAAAGATGAAAAAGGACATTCAATTATGAAATAAGTCCACAACTTACATATTTTAATTTCTAACATCGTAATTGCTTCTTATAGATCTATAACGCATTTATCTGAATCATACCCTTGCTAACAGCAGTGGTAGTAGTAATACTGTTGATACTAAAATTGTTTTTTTGATTGTTTTTTTGTTTGTTTGATACTAAGGAATAGACTTGATACAAATTTTGATACCATAATGATAATTAAAAACACTTTATTTAAACAATAGAATGTCATTTTCAACATTAAATCATATTTTCTTTTATATTACCATGCAGCCTTATATCCATGGTCTGTTGGCGTATACTCGTCTATGTACTCTTAAACTTGTTCTGATACTTCACAGCATCATTCTAAAGCTTCAGGAAAGGTTCATTTCTGTCCTGTGACTTTAGGATCAATACCTGCTCAAATGAGTATCTAGTTTCCGATGCAGTTTTAAGATTAGTATTATATTTTTGATACTACTGACAGCTCTAAGTAGTAGTAGTAGTAGTAGTAGTAGTAGTAGTAGTAGTAGTAGTAGTAGTAGTTGCAGTAGTAGTTTAGTACATGTTTCAGCTGTAGTTCTAACAAAGGATAACATTACAATAACAGGCACATTATTTTGTGTTACTTTTTTTAATCACTCATTGCATCTCACCAACTAATGCACCGAAACAATGACTGTGGTCTTTGGTCACTAATCCGTTCCCCAGAAAGTTTTGACGAAAACAGATTAATTATATTTGCTAATATCCAAAAAGACGTTTTCTGTGTTTCAGCCCTACTCAAGGTTAGCTCAGGTCGGATCTTCTGTTGATGAATTGATCTTGAATTAAACTGTGAGACTTATGCACTTGCGGCCAATGTGGGTGTGTGGTCTTGCATTTCAATGTCGGGGTATGTGGTGCCGTGATGTGAAAATACACCAATCACTTCAGATTAACTATGCAGCTCCTCCAAAGAGTGAACCCACACACAACCCATACTCATAATCACAACATCACAGATCTCTTAAAGTGCCAGTAGAAAGCCTCTTTTATTTCCTTATGAATTTCAGATATCTCATTGTGTTTTAAACAAAGAAGAACTGTAATTTCTGAGAGGCCAAATATAAGGTCAGTGTAGTAATGATTGTTATTGTCTAAATTCAGAAGGCTGTAATCACAAAAGATGCCGGGTGCAAAGTATAACAAAATTCTTTTAGATTTTCCCTGTGTAATGTCACAGTGCAGGATTTCTGAATCAGTTTAAGTTGTGTTCATTTACTGACTCCTTATGTCTAAGTGATAATTAAAGGGATTCATAATTAACTATAACCAGATGGTGCTCTCTACAGTCAGCCCTTGATGATTTATTGCTTATCTTGAGTAAATATAACACATACACTAACATCATCTTATAGTTACTGCGCACAGGTCTGGAGTCCAACCAGAATGCAGTGCAGTTGGTAAACCACCCATTAATTTCAACACAACAAGTCAGTTATATAGTCCACTGTCATAACTATTTATTTATCTGTTTTGCCCGGATCATTTATTGAATAGGAGAGTTAAATATGAACAGAAGGCGTAGAGACATTCAGGGGCCATGAGTCAAATCCATGGCTATAGATAGAAAAGTTCAAAGTTCAGCCAGCTTCACAGAAACAAACATAGCAACATAGAAAAGATACAGAAAAAGATATTTAGAATCAGCAATGTATTTCAAGCACTGTCCCACTGACAAGTACAGCAGTCAACAATTTCTCATATAAGAGCAAAATATAGCTTGTATATCTGCAAAACTACTCATCTCAAATGTGCATGTGTCAGTTATGCTATTCTCAGGCCCCCCACCTCCTCCATGTTGGCCAGTGTCACATTATCCTGTATTGACAGGTTTGACGTGTTTCGAGCGGTCCCTCAGACTCTGTTATCCTCAGTCTGGCACATGCAGCTCTCGGCACCAAACAGCATCTGTGAGGCTGCAGCAGGTTATTTCAATGTGTGAAAAGATCCAACAGCAGGACAAGTCTGTGCGAAAGAGAGTCACATTCTTGGCATAATATTTTATATAAGGCATCATTATAGGACATATGCCTGCATAGCATAACAGGAATTTATGAATTCAAAGTAGTTGTGCTGAAAAACTTATTAAATATGTGAAGCAGACCTGACACAAGGAACATATGTTACATTGACCGTGTATTATTCATGTGGAGTGGGTTTTTTCAAAGATGAACATTTAACACACCAATGTATTATTCAAAGGCACTTTTACAACTTACAAGATATACTTACGGACACCCTTTGTGCTAGTACTCAGCTCATAACACAGTCTAGAAACTATTAAACATTTATTACATTTGGAAATATGATTTTTATAATTAAAATTTTGCTTTAGCTAAGGATGCCCACCAATTACCGCACACAGCTACATTCTTTTTTGACTGACCCATACTCAGACACAACACTCTGTAAATGTCAAAGTGGCACAGCTCAACTTGAAGCTAAAGATTTTTGCCCCCTTTTTTTTTTTTTTTTTTTTTTTTTTTTTTTTTAAGGGCTGCTATGAGAAGAATGATGTAGTGTTAAGGTGAACAACAACCCATTCAACTTCCATCAATACCTCACTCCTGACCAAGCTGCCTGAAATGAACCTAAAAATGCAGCTGTATATAACATAATGGATGTATAAAGGTTTACTCCATTAATTAGTATCGCACTACTTCAAAATATTGTCTACAACTTTATAAAAAAATATAGTATGCATTTATTTTACAGTTATTACCAGATGACCTTCAATGGATCAAAACCATTTAGCCACGATTTTGTAGTTTATAAGTAGGGCTGGGTATCATTCAGAAGTTGCCGATACTATACAAGCCTCGATGCAGTGAACTTACAATTCGAGACAATTCAAAAGGATATATTTCAGTTCTATTCGATATGGTTCAACACAAAATAAAGGCTAAATCATGTCTGTGATACTAAAAGTCTTTGTTAAACCACTTGTTGTGCAAAGTTAATGTGAAAAATGCCCATTTTAATCATCAAAGCAGTGAAAATGTCAAATGTGTTGCATAAATGAGTTTCCTCCTCTAAACAAGCAACAAAACTGTAGCACTGTAACAAAATAATTCAGTAAAAAAATACTCTTGGCGATATAACAATACAGCAGCCCACGATATCGATATTGTATCATCATCATCACATTAAAGAATATGATATATCTATGTTACAATATTTTGCAATTTCCTATTTAAAATTCTGTTTAATGCACAAACCCTGCATTTGTCATGTGTTAGCACAGGAAGAATTCAGAATTGGATGGCTTCAGTCCTGGAATTGCCAATCTCTATTAAAAAAGGTAAAAGGTAGCTGCTAACTTGAAAACTACAGCTTCATGACATAATAAGGAGTATTTTGAGCTTTGGAGATGTCGATGGAGACTAATAATGCAGGATTACTCAAACATGTGTGAATGCAACAAAGCACACAGCTCCAGGTATGTTTTTGATGAGATAACAACATTCTAACATGCCTTTAAGCTCACAATAATCCATTTTATATAACACTGGACCTTTAATATGAATACAGGTGGAATGTCCTTCTTTTCGAGAATGTACCTGTAGTAATTGTATCTTTTATCTGGCTTGTCTAGTGGAACTATTTTAACGGTTCTCTAACAAGGTTTTTACATTGAATTGTTCTTTTCTCTGGCTCACAAGAGGAACTCCGGCTTCTGCTCTTCTAATTATGAAATGGCCCTGGTCCTTCTCCTCTCTCTGACAAACCAACATAAATCCTTCCTTGCACCTGATTGGATGAGACATGACTCATGGGATGTCATTGGTCTAAGATGGCACAACCTTGGCTTTGAAGATAAAAAAGCTATTGAGTTTTGGCTTTATAAGAAAGTAATAACTCAAATATTGTGGGCTAAATATAGATTGCATAGCCCTATCTGATTTATGTGATAAAAGCAATTAAATGGTGCCTTGGTGAAACAGATTATTTCTTACAATGGGGAGAATACTTTATAGAGCACTGTTTCATAAGCATTGTTTGGTAACCTCATCTTCTCTGAGAGCTCAGATATTGTTAGGCCTGTGACATATCATATCTTATTTACTGTCTCCTGCATTGTGCTGGTGCAGAATTTCAATGAGCAGTTTCAACATGGACTGCAATTCTTTCATACATATTCCAGTTCTAATGTTTTTTCATATAGCCTTACTGACAGAGTAGTGTAAGATAAAGGAGTCACATGTCATCAGGTAGTCCTATCTACTGTATAACCTGAGGATGACATCATTGGGGCAGCCATCTTGGTACCTTGAGAGATGATTGCTAATACTTGTAAACCTTTGAAACACATTGTTGAGGAGGAGTAAGTGGAGGTGGAAAATTTTATTAACTTCAGGCAGCCAAAAGTGTCTACTTTCAAGTTTCTGCGCCACAGGTAAGCTATGTGGGCGTTCTTTAGCAAAACTAAAAGCTCAGGCTCCTACAGCATTCATCTGACACCAGTGGGCTGGTGCAGATGGTAAGAAGGCTATGAAGGAAAATAGAAAATGTAAATATCTAATAGGTACCTAACCAGCCAGTCCCATTTTAAAGTATTATCAAAGCTTGTGGTTCTGGACAGGTAGAGCTAATAGCAGGGTTTCACTGAATGGAGCCAAAATAACATTTGGACTACTTTGCATCTAAGGCAAACTATCATGAAGCACAGTGCATCAAGCACAAAGCTGGTGAGTCTTACCTTAAATTCCTCCAGAATCTTGTAGGTTTTTCCTCGGTACTCGCAAAAGTTTTTCACCTCTTTACACTCGGGGCAGCAGCCATTGTGCTCCACTTTGGTGCACTTGGGATGCAGTTTGGGGCACTCGGGCTGGTCGCACACAGGTCCGTCCTCCGTGCACACGCACGGACAGTTCGAGTGTCCCGGATAGAAGCGCTCTTCCAGTTTGTACACGAAGCCACTGTCGTCCACGCAGCCTTTCCCGCGGTAGTCATCGAACACCATATTATCTGCGCCCTGGCGCTCCGCCTCGTCCACCGTGTAGTCCTCTGGGGGGTTCCCCACCGAGGCAGGGGCCACAGCTGCGCTCAGGACCAGCACGAGCAGCGCGAGCAGCACAGCGGCCCATAGGCGCACGCGCAGGAGCAGGGGAGGGCCCATGTTCAGCCGCGTAACGGACATCCACTTTCAGCGCGAGCGTGTTCGTGGCATCTCTTCAGGCTGGCGGTGTCCTCTCCGGATCCGCTCCGCACTGCGCTGACATCGGCGTCACTCCAGAGACACGGGCTGCAGCGGGAATAGCACAGACAGGAAATGTGGAGCCTCGTTACTACTACACCTGCTCAACATGCGACACCCAGGATCTACCTCGTACTTCTCTATAGCATATACTTTATAGAGTCTATGGGCCAGTCATTACATGATTATGTTACCACAGTGCAGCGGCTATAGGTCCAACACTGGAGCAGAACAGGTTAAATCATGCATTCAGAGAGTGTCTGGGTGGAGTGGGCTCATCACTGTATTCTGCTCCACATGCCGCCCAAAGCAAGCCTCTGCTGAGGTTTGGCACAAACTCTGCGGAGACACAACAGGTAGTCATTCGCCTGTAACCATTTGCTTAGTTTTCATTCTGCCTCTGGTAATGACAAGGCACAAAAGCTTATGTTAGAATATCAGCTCCTAACAACCTTTGCCAATCTATGTTTAATGCACAATGACAAACGCTCGGGAAGGAAAAGCACAGTCCACTCAGACAAAATAAACATTTGCTTAGCCTTTGTAATCCTTTGCTCATAAATTGTCACGTCCGCTCAATCACCATTTAAACTACTTATATATGAGCACACTCACCGCGACAACAAGCTCCGATATGCACTTGACGTGATGCCACAAAGCCCAAAACATAGAAAGAATCTTTGTTAGTTATGTATACTGTAGAAACCTATGGCAAACTTCACTTTTATCCACACTGGTAAATTCAGCACGATCCTCTGCACAATATTCCTCCCATTCGCTTGTAGCACAGAGGCTTAAGAGCAATCAAACACATTTCCACGTAAATCCAAAGTAGATCTCATTTGTCATCTTCTGTCGTTTTTGGCGCCTGTTTGCCGAGCAAAACAGGACTTAAAATGGCAAAATGCGTATCAAATCCTCTGGCGTTTTCTGAGCATCCGAAGTCTATTTCCCCAGTATTGCAGGTAGACATTTGGACGCAGGAGTGTCACTGTTGGCGTGCACTCATTCCACATCCACTATTGTAAATTTTTTTTAAAATCCACAAGACAGAAAAAAGCCAGATGTAGACGCAGTTTCAGCTGGTTTTCCACGATTGAGGAAAAGAGAGAGGAGAGAGCGCTCCGAGTTTCAGCACCTTGGAGAGCGACGATCCTCCTGCGTCCTGCACTGAACGGAGCAAAGACTAGAGCGCCCCCCGCATCTCACTCGTCACCCACGGACACGACGGCAGCAGCAGCAGCAACCAGCGCTCTGACCACGCAAGGGTTAAGCCCGAGGAAAAGGGCTAAGATCAAGTAGAAGTCGTTATTTGTGAAGGAGCAGCTGGTAAACAGAGGAGTGTGTCCAATGCGTGCGAGTGGATCTGACCTCCAGCGTGTTTGACAGAGCACGTATTTGTAGTGTGCACGCGCGAGGTATTTTGTATTCTAAAGAAGTGTGAGTGCTCAGCACAACAGAAGATAAACAGGGTTTTATTTGGAGTTTAATGGCTCAAACAGCAACGAGGTCACTACGGAAAGCTTCTTATTATACACAATTATTACAATTAAACCAATTTTGATTACTAAACTGAAATGAATCATGTAGCAGTACAAAATGTTATGCAAAATGTAAGATTATGACTACTTTTCTTTACAATCAAAAGTTAAACCATAGCCTACCACATAAATTGAACAAAAGTCTCATGCTTACAACTGTCATTACAGTATATAATCAATACAGTGTATTGTAATTATTTTGAAGCAAGCCTATTAACCAAATTCATGTAGCCTATATCTATTCTTAATGTAATGTTAATTATTTGACACTCCAGCCCACAGATATATTGTTAAAAGTGTGACAGAAACTAATTGCACAAACATTACAGTGATTATATAAATGTAATTAGAAATTAATATTTCAAGTTTTTTTTTTTTTTTCAAGTGCTCAAATCATGTGCATAATAAAAAAGTTAAAGTACATATGTGAAATTCTTGAGTTTTTCTATATCCTAATAGTATTATTCACTGATCTTTGTCACGTGTTATTGTGCATATATCCTGTTTTTTGTCTTGCCATCAACCTGCCAATGGGACTACGCATGAAAATTAACCTGCACAGCTAATTCTGGCACATTTACATGCTGTACTAACACATGCTGATCAATGTGCACTTTCCCATATTTAATAAATAAACATAAACACAATTGGTTCATTCATAGTTTTACTTTAATCAAGTGGCAGTTTATAAGGAAATGTTTATAAAGTTGAAAATTACACGAAGTACACCAGAATCTTAATATATAGGGATGTTATTATGTAGCTCTATGCACTTTAACAACTGCTATTTCCTTCCTCCTCTGGCCCACCTGAAATACAGTGACAACATTCATTTATCTTATGTAAAGATATGTGACCCAAAAGACCATCAATTCATTAGTCATTCCTAAGTGGAATCCCTCTCATCTTATAAACTGCGACCTCTCGACCTTACCTGTTCCAATGGATGTGGAGCAGCCCGGCTTTAATGTGAGCAATGATTAAAAGCTGCTGTTGAATATAATGGTGGGCCCTGTCGGAACACCTGTCACTCCCCAGGGTGAACTAGACCTGAATGTGACAGTGCGTCTGCTGCACGACGCACAAGGTCAGAACCACTACTGCCTCATTAACTCAACTAACTTAAAACGGTCTGTGCAACTTACTGCTTAAGTAGTATAAAAGTACACTCCAGTAGCCTATATAAAGTATTTTCCGCTATATTCCATAATCACAACTCGCGCTCTGTAATAAGGCTATAAACGCCCATAGTTAACCTAAATATGTCTATTTCGTAAAGCTTGAGCTATATATAAGTTAATAGTGAAGTCACAAGATAAGAAAACTCCAAACAAGCGAGGAGTCTTCCCGTCATTCTTCCTTAAACGTTTACTTTCCAAAAGAGGGAAAAATAAAATAAAATCTTGCCTTGCCACTAGGAGGAGCGGATGCGTAATTTCCCTGATTGGTACGCGAAGAAAAACATGGGGTTAGTCTGTTGGAAATTTTCGATGAAATGTCAGGTCATTATGAACACAGAATGATTGATCTTTATGAAAATGTAACTGTTTCGTCATAATAACACAGTGCGTTCGGTGCCTGTCTTATTTTATGGCCTTTCTCTCATTTTCTGTCACTGCGCTCAAGTGCAAGTCTCGACACCTTGCGTTTTTTTAGATGGCTACATATTTTGACATCGGTTTTATTCAGAACATTCTAATTTTACTAATTTGGTGAGTCCTTTCATAAAATAGACTGTTAAATGTTTTTGTGTCATCAGTGAATGTTTCTGAATGCTCTGGTTCTAGGTTTTGTCAGACTAATGCCATTGACAGGGATCATGGGGGGTTAGTTGCAGTTGACAGCTGTTAGAAATACAGATACAGTAAAATCTGCAATCAAAACAAAACCTGTGGTAGAGCGTGGCTTTGTCAAACTCTGGGTTACACTCTCTAAGTGTATAATTAGTGTGTCAGCTGAAACATTAGCCAGGAGCAGGCAGAGAGCACAGCCCGGTTACACATCAGACCTCATGTTAGGAGAGAATAATGGATGAGCAATTTATTAGATTTATTTACTGGAAAAAACAACAGATGTTTGTGTTAATGTAGCCTGCTGCTTTTAAAACAAGATGATGCAAATCGAAAGGAAGTGAGTCACTGAACTGTGTTCACAATGTTGTGAATGTCTGTCAGTAGTCAGTAAGTACCCAATATAAAAGTGGCTGTAATTTTCACTTAGGTAACTTTGATTACATAAAGGAAAAAAAAAATCAAGCGCTCGGACATTTAACAGATTTTAACAAAAGACATAAGTTGTTTTTCTGTCTAAACAGTTCACTGAACATGAAAGCTATATTGCTAAAATACAAAATTGACCATACCTTACTACATTTTTGAACATTCATTTCAAATGCATTTATGCCAAAACCTACTCATTTCTTCTCTGACCTATCTCTGAGTAAATACTAAATACTAAATACAGAAGTTCATCATCTATAGAAACATTTTTCCCCTTTCACCTAATGTTCCATCAACTACTACTAGCTCTACAACATAATTTAATTTCCTCATTCCTGACCTATTATTCCAAGCTCCTGATCATGGCCTATTCTCCTGGGAATCTTTAAACTATTTTCCTTGCTAACCATGCATATATTGCTCATAGCTAGATAAAAATATCTTCTCTCCACAGAATAAATCATGCATCCTGGACTATGGTACTCCTCTGTGCTGAAATGTGCCGCAAACCTTCTGCCCACATACCATCCCCCTCTTAAGTGAAACATCGTGGCCGTTGACCCGGTTACAAAGAAAAAAACACAACATTCCACGGTTAGTATCGCCTCTTGTCTTTCTTCTTACTCTGCTCTACTGGGCTACAGAACAAGTATATATCATTTATTAAATCTGACATTGCACTTCAGTAAATGTGGGATCTTAATGTGAGATGTGTTGTCTCCGACCACTAGGGCTTCTCCTCCGGCATGCCATGCTCCATTAGGCCTTCACTCTGGCTCAGGAAAAACACAGCGCAGGATGATAGGAAAAACAGCAGAGCACAGAACACCCACTATTAACACAACATATACCTGCATTTAAGAGACAGCCTCGTGACGCCCTGTGGAAGCCTTTATTTACATATCAGTTACATTCACTTCAAGACAAACCCTGATTACCCAAAAGTGGTGAACTGCAACAGATGTGGCATGAGTCATCAGCCTGTGAACTCAGGAAAAGTTGGGCTGCTTTTGCGGTGTAGAAGTAAAATTTGACAAATAGGGAAAAAAAAAAAATAAATTAAAAATAACACTCTGTAAAGTTTTGGGAATTGTTAAATACTAATCCATTTTACTCCCATCACTTATAAATACATTATCATCACCTAAATTACTGTAACGTT